CAGTGGATCTGCAGACCAGAATCCATCGTGCATTGACCGAGTACAGGGGTCATTTGCTTGGCCCACCACAATGGTCGACGCACCGATGCCCAAAGAGAAGGATAAAAATGTTTGTGCAGTGATTCAGCTATTTTTCTGGCAATGTGATGTGATGATGTGGTGTTAGTGAGACAGTGAGACAACTACAAGGCTACATGACATTGTGTTACAGTTACATCATTACATCATCTTTACTTGCTGCTTCCCCATCCATTCGTAACTCTTCTAATTCTCATTCATTAAATACTTTCAGTACTACTTGTCGATTCTGAATCCTGGTTCCGGATCCTTTAAAATTTCTTGCCATCCACTCACATGTCCCTTCGCAAATCCACTTGTCCACTCGTCCATCCACTCGCACGTCCACTCGTCCATCCACTCGTCCATCCACTCGCACGTCCACTCGTCCACTCGCACGCCCACTCGTGCGTCCACTCGTCCACTCGCACGACCACTCGTCCGTACACATCTTGTTTACTCGCTCACCTTCCACTCGTATACATTTCAGCCATTTTACTGTAGAACCGTTTACGGATTCTTGAAATTTGATAATCGTCATCCCTCAACCCAGCCGTCTTCTGGAACCACGTGACTGCCGAGCTTGCAGCCAAGGGAACAGAAGGGCCCATCCCTTCCTCCTCCCTTGCGTAGAGGTAATCCACCCACTGCATAGATGTCGGCCTCTGGCCAGGTTTCGACGTCATACCTGCCCACATACGGACCTTCTGCCAGTACCCAAGATACCTCCGCACAGTTGCAATCCTGTAGTGACCCAACAGTGCTTCCTTAGTGGATTGATTGCACGCTCAACCTCCTTGAGTACTGGCGCATCGTAGGTCTGGAGCTCACTCACCAACTTCTCAACTGCAACAACTTCTTCTGTCACCATTCTTCCACTTCTCAACATCACGCTCTTCCCCAAGAGTCCTTTCTTGGGCCTAGGAGTAATAACCACAACCGGATCCGTTGGCTCAAGTGCCTTCACCTTCGACTTCTCATTCACATACATTGCATCCTGGATGCCCCGTACGGAGCTAGATGCACAACTTCCACTAGCCCTGGCCTCCAAGTCCTCCATCATCACCGCCGACTTGACCTGGCCTTTCACGAAGTCGAGGTGCCATGCTTTGCGTTCAATGCCCATCTTGTCCGCCAGTTGGGCTGCAAGTGAGTCTTCACTGCCCAGGCTCACCGTGAGCCTCTGGCCAACCAAACCTAACTCCATCAAGGTGTTCAGCATGTCTGCTGCCTCGCCTGCATCGGTGGGACAAGTCCCACCGTCCATGGCTTCCCCCCCACACAAAAAGGGGTCACCAACCAAAGATCAATTGAGCCAACATGTTAACGATACCAAAACTAGTCATGACACGTCATGAAAAGTTGCATTTCTTTGCTTTCCCTTCCTGCCAACGTCAAACTTGGTGCTCCTCCTATATAATAACCGAAAAAATGAACTTGCCAAAGTCCAGTAGCGTTTCAATCATCAGCTTTACATTGGATTGGCCGTTCTGTTTCAGATTTTGCTGTCCTCACACTTTCCACCGCTGATCTTGATGTTTCTACGGCTTCCGTTTTCTGGGATTCCCTGTGGTGCGGTGAAGCCAGGATGCAGCAACTCTTTGCGCGTGAGCTTTCCATCGCGATTCTTGTCGATAAAGGTGAAGATCTGCTCCAGCTGTTGCGTCTGTTCATCCGTCAATGCCGGGTGACCTGCCAAGGCGTCCGACAAGCTTATGAACCCAAGAAGACATAGATTTGGATTGATATGTATATATATATATAAACCTATATATATTATATATGTATGTGCATCTTTAATATTACATATATAGTCCGTTGTATATATATATAATATAATCCTATCTTTTCTGGCCTAACCTAACCTGCCCTGACTCACACAACTGACAGAAGTCGGATAGACCAGCCAAGACAGCTACAAAACTGGTGTCATCACTTCAGTCTTAGGTGTTTACATGGCCCATCGATGAGCAGTCTTCCAGGCAACTATGGAACCTCCATGAACGTCCTAGAGGTTTCGGTCTAACTTGAGGCCGAGGGTAGGTGACGAAAGCTAGCAGGGGTGCGTCCGGACTGGTGGGACATCAAGCGGAGTGAGGCAAATGCTCATGAGGTAAAACGTTGTGAACATGTAAGACACACAAACAGCAATGACACAGCCAACCTTAGAATTGAAGTCCCCGATAATTAAGGAAGCGTGGCTGGACTTTGCCACACTGTTCGATGCATCCGATGTGTTCACGAACCTGTGAGCTTGTTGAATCTGTTGCACCGTATCCCAAAACCTCCACGGAGGAGTTGAACCAGTGTGGATGCCATAAGAGGTGCCCAAGAGGTGTCCCAGAGGCAAAACAAAGCTGCTTGCATGATTTGTTTGGTTTCTTATATCGATGTCGATGTCATGAACATGTGAGCTTGTTGAATCTGTTGCACCGTATCCCGGAGGAGTCAAGCCAAAGTGGATGCCATAAGAGATGCCCGAGAGGTGTCCCAGAGGCGTCCGAGGGGGGAGTTGAACCCACGGGGGGGGGGTGAGGGGTAAGTTCCCCCCAGAAGTGGCAGTTGCTTAACTGGACCTGATCGAAACACCAAGTGAGTCACACGAATGCGATCGGGGTGCGAGCGGCAGCGATGCACACCTTTTCTATGGCTGAGGATGCAGGTATTGGGCTACTAAGTCTTGAGCCAAATGAATTAGGTCGAAAGCGGACTGAAGAGCTACAGACTAATCTATACAAGAGAACAGGTGCTACACACGTATAGCGTAGACACGCCTAGGGGACCTAGGACACTACCAAACACAAAACAGACACAAATTTTCGTGTCGAAGCTTACGATCTCTAAAGTACAAAAGCTTGGATAGCAAAAGGATGCAAATGAATTACAGAAGTTCTGTCTTCGCAGAACTAGACCGTAGATGCCATTCTGGCTCATCTAGGTTGCGTCAGATAATCTTTACAAATCTACGAAAGGCATACTTGCTGCCTCGAACGTTCCGGAATATCGGAGATCTTCTTTTTCAAGTCAAATCAAATCTATAGGGCCTTTATTTTTGATTTATCTGGGTCTTTCAAAATATGCATTTAGCTTTCCGGCACTTAGCTGTGGTCTAGCCGGCATATCGGCTTCTCAGAGACTATCTACCAGTTCCTGTATCCTCGGTAACCAGGGTTCCAAGATGATGAGGAGGAACCGGCATACCACCATGAACTTGATGCACCTGAGGACCAGTGGTCCGATGGCTGCCAGGACTGGTCCCAGCCTGCTTGACGAGCTTGTTTATTCTGCCGAGATCGTTCCTTCAAACGTTCAAGTCTTTCGGCATTCTTCTCGCCACGGTTCACGGCGGATACCTGGCTGCGAACTCTGATCTTGTGTCGGCTGGCAAGTGAAAAATTACACTGGAATGGATGGTGATAACCTAAGTCACTGCTCTTCAAACACAGATCAAGATGGCTCAAATGCTTAAGGAGTTCGTTAACCTTAATAGTAGTCTCTTTTTGACGAGGAGGTTGCTCGTATCCAACACGTCCACGATCATCCGGAGTATCGGATGTTCTCGTCCGCAACGTATGCGTGTCCTTGCCGTAATTTAAGGCGATCTGTAGCATACAGTCGCAATCGGCATCCAGACCTTCCAAAGCGGCGAGCTGCTCGCTGGCGAGGGTTGAGACCTCCCAGTTATAGGTTATGCGCTTGCTCGACTCACGCTTCTTGTTCGCAGAAACAAGGATCTGGTCAAGGATGGTGAGGACAGCTCCGGTCGCCATGTCGATCGCCCCGGAAGTTGCGGTTCGTGAACTGATTGGCATCGCACACGATGACGTCCGCCTGGTCTGCCACGGCCGTAATCAAAATCTTCATAATGGCGTTCTTACCGGCCGTAATACCTGACTGAAAGGCATGTACGAACGGCTTAACTCGACAATCTGTCGCATCTCCTCGCCGGTATATCGGCGGTTGGAGTCGTAAAAGCAGCTTGGCCGAATGATTGGATACGGTGCCACGTCAGACTGTTCATCCCAGTGTTGAGCGATCGAGGGAGGACCAAACCCTTGTACTTGGTACTTCTTCTTTCTTGACTGCT